GAGGGTCCGACGCAGATCTACGGGTATGCAGCACTGAAGAGGCCCCAGGACACACACAAACAAATACAAACACACACACAAATAAACATACTCCCCATATTTTCCAATATTTTCTGGGTTTTCGTCTTCCCCCCACTTCCCACATGTTCCCATATTTTCTGGGGAGTCGACGATTCATTGTGTCTGTGTGCTTCTTTCCCCTCCTGAAATATTATCTTCTCACTCGAACACCCGACATGGTTGCGGACAACACGGGCACACCATGCACGACCACAAAGGTTGTCCAAGCGGCGGCCGCTGCTGGGCAGGCGGCCCCGTGTACCATTGTCGGCCACGCCCGCGGTGGCACCGACCGCGAGCCCTGATCAAAGTGCACCTGCACTGCGGTCCGTCCTCGTCACCAATTCTTTCCCCTACCCGCTTCGATCGCAACTTCACGGGCGAAGAACGGTATACAATAAACTTGTTCGCCGTCGGGGACACCTGCCCCTGGGCGGCTGGAAAGTTTATACCCTCACGGTGGCACCGCAGGGGTATAAACTCTCCAGCCGCCCAGGGGCAGGTGTCCCCGACGGCGAACAAGTTTATTTCATACAGATTTTCGCTCGCTGAGCAAACCCACCCTGACGGAGACCCGCGCGGACTTCTGGGCTCGGCGCTGGGAGACCCCCCCCCCCTGGCGCGCGCAGGCGCCCGAGGCTCCGCCGGGGAGCCCCAATGCAGATCCAAGAGCTCCGCGCAGACCGCCGCAGGCTTGCATCTCGTATGCTCGTGCCGCTTCGCCTCCCTCGAGAATCGATCGCGCCGAGCTTGGAGCTGCGGCTCCCACCACGGACTCGCAGAAGTTCGCCCAGATCTCGTTGCCCTTCTTCTTCTGCACGGCCTCGCGGCCGCGGCGAAAGAGGGAGCGCGGCGCCGGGCGTCGCCGCGAGGGGGCACGATGGGGCAGCAGTGGCGCGGGGGGGCACGGGACGCGGGGCGACGCCTGTTGGACGGGCCGCTGGGGGAGGAAGAGCATCGCAGCGCGTGCTCGGGAACCACCTCACGGGGCCCCACTCCACGCTCCCATGGCTTCGGGTGACCCCAAGGGGGGGTCCAGCTGAAAGGGGGGGTTGTGCAATTGATTTGGGGCGATTGTACTGCAGATGTACTGCGCCGGAGCATTGTATTGCATTGTATTGCAAGTCATGCATTGCACGCGAGAATACAGCAACACACTTGCGCCCCGAAATGTATCGCACGCCCCAAATGTAGTGCAATCCCACAATTCTATTGCACCACCCCGTTGTCGCTGGACCCCCTTTCGGGTCAACCCGAATGGTTTTAATCCGCCACCGAGCCTTCAACGCGTAGTAGAGTGCCCCAGGGCTCATGCAGCTCTGAGAGGTCCAGGAGTTTAGTGAGGGAGGTTCTTTAGGGGGCCCGGACCCGCACCTTCCAAGGAGATGCAAGGGTTTACTGGAATTTCTTGGGAGCCCTTTGAAGCTCTTGGGAGCTCTTAGAAGCAGCTGGGAGCTCCTGAGGGCTCCGGGAACCCACGGGAGCTCTTTGGAGCTGCCAGGAACCTTCGAGACTGACTCCAGAACGGCCTCAGATGGCCAAAGAAGGCCCTGGACTGGTCCACGATAGCTTCAAGACGGCCCAAGGGGCCCATAGCATGCCCCATGAGAGAAGAGCAACCCCAAGAGGGTCCCAAGCAAAAATCGTACAATTCTCTTCGGAATCCAAATATATTCATCATGTTCGCCGCTTCCGCTTAGGCTTTCCCAGCATCCAGGACGGCCGACGAGGTTCCCAAGATCACCCCAAAACAGCTCAGGAGCTCCCAAAGGTGGAGGGGCCCAAAGATGGGCACAGGATGGGGAATTCCATCGGTGATTTCGAGCCATCCGCCCCAAGGACCCAATAAGCCCCCGCGAAGCCGCAGGAGGCACCCGAGAGGCCCAAAGAATGCCCCAGAGGCCCGCAGGAGGCCCACGAGAGGCCCCAAGATGCCTCCGAGAGGCATCTCAAGAGATCCCAACAGGCTTTCAAGAAGCTTCTGACCTGCGAGCCAGGCACAGTGGCGGGATGGGCGGAAGTCCACCAGATATTGAACATGCGGCCCGAGACCGCGAGGCCAGAAAAAGCATTGGAACCCAGCGCCTCGCGCACTGATGCTTTCAATAGGAAGCCTGGGGGTGGTGGAACGATGAACTCCTTTCAGTATGGCTCCTCGGTTGCAAAACACGTCCCTGACCAAAACAAAATTATAAAAAAAACGCGGCTAAAATCTACACGCATCCGTCGCCTCAGGGACCGGTGCCCCAGGTCCTCAAGAGACGGTGGACGTTGACACACCTGGCCCACCCCCCATTTGAGCAGGGACCGACCGTCCCGGCATTCCTATAGTCCTACCACGAAATATTCTTAGAACCCACAAATGTTCTAAAACAATGTTATTAGAACATAAACCCGATGTGTTAAAACAAGACAGCAGACTCCGCCAGACATGATCTAAGAGCAGTTCGTGGGAACCACAGAAGGTCCTTAGAACATTGTTTGGTAGGGCTATAGGCAAGCCGGGACGCTTCGCCACTGCTTGACCCATGGGCCCCGTGACCATCAGTGTCCATTGCCAGCGTGGGCCCTGGAAACGAGAGGGCCCTATTTTTTACCGGTTCCGTTTTGCCAGTTTTGTTGCCGGTTCCGACGCCGTTGTTCTACCGGTTCCGTCGCCGTTGTTTGACAGGTTCCGGCTCCGGTTCCAATCCTGGGGCCGTTTTTTTGCCGTTTCCGGTCGCCGTGTTTTTTGCCGTTTCCATTTTCAAGGGACATTCTTTTGGAAACGGTGAACAAAAACGGCCCTGCCGTTTCAGGGGCCCACAAAGGTCCCGTGACTATCAGTGTCCATTGCCAGCTGGGGCTGCGGGGCATGAGAGCCCCGGGCGGTGGGCATGTACAGACTCTGGCCCCGCAGGCTGGCACGGGCGCGATGGATCGGCTCTGGACATGGCAGGGCGCCTAAGGAAGCCTAAATAAGGAACGAGGCCCCTTTTTCCAATAAGTTAAAGTTCGACTTCCCATCGAAAACCAAAAGAACACCTAAGGCCAGCTGCGGAACAATCAAGGACTGCGGAGCCCCTCCACAACGAAAAGGGTTCCTTGCTCAGGGCCCCGACTGTAGGATCGGGCCAGGCGAAAGGGGGGGATAGCAAAGGGGGGGCTTGAGAATCAGCTCACGCGGCTGATTCTCCAGGCGCCTCCCGGCGCCGGAGGCGCCCGTGCATCGAGGAATGGGCCCCTCGGTCGGGCCGAAACCAGCTGCATGCAGCAAATTTCGTAACCCCCCTCTCCCAATCCCCCCTTTCGCCCGACCCGGTATGATCGGAGAGTGCGGAAAAAGCCGACTGGCAGGCTGCCGGCGACCGACGAGTACACATGCGGCCTGGCAAGGAGCTGCGGCAAACCCAGGTCACCCTTCATCGAGGGCGCACCCGGGGGGGGTGGGGCCTGTCGGTATCTCTTCAGAAGGCCCGAGAGCTCCCGAGGTCTCCAAAGCCCGAACTTCTCTCCTTCTGGGAGAACCAGAAGGCCGATACCGATACTGCAACCCCGGGACCTCTCCAAGGGTACGTTCTGACCAGGATGTCGAAGCGAATCCAGCGGTGGCGTCGAGGGCCTCCCGGGAGGCCCAGAAAGGAGCGAATATGAAGGGAAGGTAGCAGTATGCGCACCTCTACTTTTTCTGAGCTTCCCCCCCAGGCTCGCGCCGACTTCAAGGGGTAGCTATCCCTGGTCGGCTCGACCACAGGCCGCCGAAGGCTGGGAGCGAGAGAGTGAGGGAGCGGCGCCGCGGCGCAAACGCCGAGAGGGCAAAAAACCAAAAACACGAAGGGGGGAGGAAAGCTCTTATTGGCGGCGCGCACAACAGTGGAGGCCCGACCACAAGAAACCTTCCACAAGCAACCCACCCCTGAGACCCCAGGACGTCCGTCGATGTTTGGTGCGGGCACGTCACGCTTTCCATCGCAAAACCATCGAAACCCAAGAACCCCAGGGCACCCTGGAGGCAAGCAGGGTGTTTCTTGGCATGGGCCCCCACTGTATGGGGGGGAAGGCTTCTTCGAAGGGGGCTGCTTCATGGGAGGCGCCGGCCCTACATGTACAGAGAAGGCCCGCGCATTCCAAGAGGCAGGAGTGCTTCTGAGAAGCCTTCCCCCTCCCCCTATACCCCCCTTCTGCGTGTGGCCGATCCTTCACTCGCGCTATCAAGTTGGCGTGCTCGGCGGTGTAGGGCACGTACTTGGGCAGCTTCTCCTTCTCGTCTCCTGGGGGGGCACACATATGTGGGCGGCGACCTTTTTTTTTATATCGCGCAATGCATACAGATCGCTCACTGCAAGCATGGATGACTAGACGAGCGCGTCCCACTACTCGCAAAGTAACTACCCGCAAATGGCCTGGATCCCCCGCGGGTGATCTACCATAAAATACATCAAAGCAGACATCTGTGGGCGGCGACCCCGGGGAAAGTGAGGAGAGGCGAGCCTTCTCAGAAGGTGCGGAGGGTCCTTTTTTCGGCGGTGGACAAACCTCCCTTTCGTAAGCCTCCCCTTAATGAAAACGGCCTGGGACCGAAATCGACGCACCTGGACCCGCAAAAATGACGGCCGCGACGCCCTCTCGCGAACCGAAAACGGCCAATTCACTAATCGACGTGTCAGGGTAGGAGGTATATCAACCTCTGGCCTTTTGGAGCTCCTTTGGGCCGTGAAGGGTCCTCCTGGGTGGTCCTGGGGCCCTCTCGGGGCCTTCTCGGGGCCCTTTCGGGGACCTCCTGAGGCCATCTTGCGGCTCTCCTGGGAACCTTTGGGGCCCTTAGGGGCCTCTCTTGGGCCGTCGTCGAGCTCTCCAGGGGCCAATTTGGGGCCGCCTTGTCCAGTCTTCGGGGGTTCCTGGTGACCTCTTGGGCCGTTGTGGACGCTGCGAAGACCAAACAAGCAGATATGCTAAGCATGCAGGCGTTACGAAGGGCATGGGGCGAGGTTTGCCTCTGGGGCGTCCTTTTGGATGCCTCGTGAAATTTGAAGGGCCTCGTTGGCCGTCGTGCGGCCATCCTGGGACCTCTTTGAGCGCTCTCGGGCCGCCTTGGGGCCCTCTTGGGCCTCCCCAAGGCCGTCATGTCGGCTGCTTGGGCGCTCTTGGGGCCGTATTGGGCCGTCTTAGGGGCCCTCTGAGGCGCTCTTGGGGCTGGCTTGGACCGAACGAGGCCGACAATTGGGCCATTAGACCTGCTTGGCACGGGGACGGAAAACGCACTTACTTTCAGAGCGCACGAGATCGCTGGCTCGTCCGCTCTTACACCTCTTATTGACTCCATTCCCCTCGCTCTTGTCCTATCTCAGCCTCGGAGAGTCGCGGAGCTTTCTTTGAGCGCGTTTCTTGTTTCGGAGGGGGCGGTCGGGTCGCGTTGCGATTTCCGCGTTTGGGCTGCCAGCTTTCCAGAACCCCGCGTTTTCCTTGCGTGGACCGCTCGTTGTCCACGCGTTGCCGCCCGTCCCTGTGCCCTGGCGTCAAGAACTTATTACGCCGCAGCTCTCTGTTGGGAGCTTTGGTCTTATCAGCTCGATTACGCCACCGCTCGCTCTTGGGAGCCGCGGTGCCAAGAGCCTTTGGGAGTAGTTTGGGGCTCTTGGGGGGCTCTTGGGGAGCCTCTTGGGTGCCTCTTTGGCACCTTTTGGGGCTTTTCGGGGGCCCCTTGGGGGGGCTCCTGGGGGCTTCTGGGCTGCGGGGGTGAAGGGAATAGCCTGCCTTTTGCCGTCTGTGGGCTCTCTTGGGCGCCTCTTGGGGCCTTCTTGGGGCCGTCCTGGGGCCGTCTTGGGCCGTCTTGGCGCCTCTTGGGCCGCCGTGGCGCCCTCTTGGGCCGTGTTGGGGCCTTCTTGGGGGCCTCGTGGGCCTTCTTGGGGCGCTCCTGGGGGCCTCTTGGACAGTCTTGGACGCCTCTTGGCCCGTCTTGGCGCCCTCTTGGGCTATTTTGGTGGCCTCTTGGGAACATTTTGGGCCGCCTTGGGGCGGTCGTGTGGGCCTTTTGGACCGTCTTCAGCGCCATGAAAGGCGAAAAGCCGCATATGCTAAAAATGCACGTTTTCCTTAAGACAATCAATGATGCTGGCCTCGTGGGGCCCTCTTGGGGCGCCTCGTGGGCGCCTCCTGGGGCGTCGTGGAGGCCTCTTGGGGCGTCTTGGGGCCGCCTTGGGCGGTCTTGGGCTCTCTTGGAACGCTCTTGGGCCGTCTTGGGCGCTTCTTGGGCCGTCTTGGGCCGTCTTGGGCGCCGTCTTGGACGCTTCTTGGGATGTCTTAGGCGCCTAAGGCGGCCCAAGAAGCGCCCAAGAAGCGTTTTCCGATGATGTCTCGAGCGAAACGCTGTTTTTAAGCCCCGAAGGCCGTCCTACTCGATAAAAAACGAGGCGGGAGGGCAATTAGATCTGATTGGCACGGGGGCGGAAAACGCACTTACTTTCAGAGCGCACGAGATCGCTGGCTCGTCCGCTCTTACACCTCTTATTGACTCCCTTCCCCTCGCTCTGGTCCTATCTCAGCCTCGGAGAGTCGCGGAGCTTTCTTTGAGCGCGCTTCTTATTCCCAACCAGGGGGCGGTCCCGCGTTTTCCTTGCGTGGACCGCTCGTTGTCCACGCGTTGCCGCCCGTCCCTGTGCCCTGGCGTCAAGAACTTATTACGCCGCAGCTCTCTGTTGGGAGCTTTGGTCTTATCAGCTCGATTACGTCACCGCTCGCTCTTGGGAGCCGCGGTGCCAAGAGCCTTTGGGAGTAGTTTGGGGCTCTTGGGGGGCTCTTGGGGAGCCTCTTGGGTGCCTCTTTGGCACCTTTTGAGGCTTTTCGGGGGCCCCTTGGGGGGGCTCCTGGGGGCTTCTGGGCTGCGGGGGTGAAGGGAATAGCATGCCTTTTGCCGTCTGTGGGCTCTCTTGGGCGCCTCTTGGGGCCTTCTTGGGGCCGCCCTGGCGCCGTCTTGGGCCGTCTTGGCGCCTCTTGGGCCGCCTTGGCGCCCTCTTGGGCCGTGTTGGGGCCTTCTTGGGGGCCTCGTGGGCCTTCTTGGGGCGCTCTTGGGGGCCTCTTGGACAGTCTTGGACGCCTCTTGGCCCGTCTTGGCGCCCTCTTGGGCTATTTTGGTGGCCTCTTGGGAACATGTTGGGCCGCCTTGGGGCGGTCGTATGGGCATCTTGGACCGTCTTCAGCGCCATGAAAGGCGAAAAGCCGCATATGCTAAAAATGCACGTTTTCCTTAAGACAATCAATGATGCTGGCCTCGTGGGGACCTCTTGGGGCGCCTCGTGGGCGCCTCCTGGGGCGTCGTGGAGGCCTCTTGGGGCGTCTTGGGGCCGCCTTGGGCGGTCTTGGGCTCTCTTGGAGCGCTCTTGGGCCGTCTTGGGCGCTTCTTGGGCCGTCTTGGGCCGTCTTGGGCGCCGTCTTGGGCGCTTCTTGGGCTGTCTTAGGCGCCTAAGACTGCCCAAGAAGCGCCCAAGAAGCGTTCTCCGATGATGTCTCGAGCGAAACGCTGTTTTTAAGCCCCGAAGGCCGTCCTACTCGATAAAAAACGAGGCGGGAAAGCAATTAGATCTGCTTGGCACGGGGACGGAAAACGCACTTACTTTCAGAGCGCACGAGATCGCTGGCTCGTCCGCTCTTACACCTCTTATTGACTCCCTTCCCCTCGCTCTGGTCCTATCTCAGCCTCGGAGAGTCGCGGAGCTTTCTTTGAGCGCGCTTCTTATTCCCAACCAGGGGGCGGTCCCGCGTTTTCCTTGCGTGGACCGCTCGTTGTCCACGCGTTGCCGCCCGTCCCTGTGCCCTGGCGTCAAGAACTTATTACGCCGCAGCTCTCTGTTGGGAACTTTGGTCTTATCAGCTCGATTACGTCACCGCTCGCTCTTGGGAGCCGTGGTGCTAAGAGCCTTTGGGAGTAGTTTGGGGCTCTTGGGGGGCTCTTGGGGAGCCTCTTGGGTGCCTCTTGGGGACCTTTTGGGGCTTTTCGGGGGCCTCTGGGGGGCCTCCTGGGAGATTCTGGGCTGCGGGGGTGAAGGGAGTAGGCTGCCTTTGGCCGTCTTTGGGCTCTCTTGGGGGCCTCCTGGGGCCTTCTTGGGGCCGTCCTGGGGCCGTCTTGGGCCGTCTTGGCGCCTCTTGGGCCGTCGTGGCGCCCTCTTGGGCCGTTTTGGGGCCTTCTTGGGGGCCTCTTGGGCCTTCTTGGGGCGCTCCTGGGGGCCTCTTGGACAGTCTTGGACGCCTCTTGGCCCGTCTTGGCGCCCTCTTGGGCTATTTTGGGGGCCTCTTGGGAACATCTCGGGCCGCCTTGGGGCGGTCTTGGGGGCCTCTTGGACCGTCTTCAACGCCATGAAAGGCGAAAAGCCGCATATGCTAAAAATGCACGTTTTCCTTCAGAAAATCAATGATGTTGGCCTCTTGGGGCCCTCTTGGGGCGCCTCGTGGGCGTCTCCTGGGGCGTCGTGGAGGCCTCTTGGGACGTCTTGGGGCCGCCTTGGGCGGTCTTGGGCTCTCTTGGAGCGCTCTTGGGCCGTCTTGGGCGCTTCTTGGGCCGTCTTGGGCCGTCTTGGGCGCCGTCTTGGCCGCTTCTTGGGCTGTCTTAGGCGCCTAAGACGGCCCAAGAAGCGCCCAAGAAGCGTTCTCCGATGATGTCTCGAGCGAAACGCTGTTTTTAAGCCCCGAACGCCGTCCTACTCGATAAAAAACGATGGAACAGGGCACTTAGATCCGGGGCCCGCGGTGCCAACCCCCTCGAACTCCCCCAAGTCCAATGTCTTCCGACTAACGGACCGCACGCTAACGCGCGCTTTCCGTCATCCGGGCCTGGCGATGCCACCCCCCTCGAACTCCCCCAAGTCCAATTCCTTCCGGCTAACGGACCGCACGCTAACGCGCGCTTTCCGTCATCTGGGTCCTCAGTGGCCAACCCTCGCACACTCCCCCGTGCTATTTCTCCCGACGCACGGATCTCGACGCTACGGGCGCTTTCTGTCATCTGGGTCAGCAGTGGCACACCCGTTCACACTCCCCTGTTTATACCGAACAACGAACCGCGACGGTACGCGCGCTTTCCGTCATCCGCCGCCACCTCTGGCTTCCCACAGGGGTGCACGGCGTGCCCCGTGTCTGGCAAGGTTTGGTTCGTTTCTAAGGGACTCCCCGTGGGGCTCCAGCCCAGCCCACCGGCCATCCGGAAAACGCACCTCCCGTCGGCTGATTCGCTTGAGATAAATTCAAGATGGCCTCCAGACGGCCAAAGTGGTCTCCCAGA